ATCTCTTTGAACCTGTCACCTCTTCTATGGTCTTGCTTCTCTTTTAGTTCCCTCAAGCTTGTCAAACATATATTTATATATATATTTTTTCTAATCTATCATCCACTCGGATCACATGCCCAAAGTGGGCAAGTTTCGGTTTGCTGATCATTGCCTCAAATGAATGATCAGTCTTTATTTAATCCAGCACTCTTATTAACTATCTCTGAATCTATTATTCTTTGGCATGATATTACTTAATAAATTTTAGAATGTAGGAATATATTTCCTCTTTTGCCTAAAAGCAACATACACAAACCTTTTTGCAATTTTGTGATATAAACAGGGAAAAACTGTACCTGTTCCATTTTACATTGTCCATTTTTTCATAATACCATTTTATATTACTAAATGCACTGAATCTTTCTCCCAAAAGTTTTTACATCCTATACTGTTTGCTTTACTGTCATATTGCATAGATTAATAGCCATACATTTGGGTTACTTTTTATACTGCTGATTTTTTTTAAAAAAATGATACTGACTTGACTGCTCACTAGGGCAGAAAGGGAGGGTATAAATCCAATAAATAAACAAAAGTATTTTTTTAACATTTTAAATTTTGTGTGGCTTGCTTTTGTTAATTATATGCTAGTTTAAGGTTACTTTTAACAGAAAGCAGGCCAACATTTGATATTGAATAAATAGACTATTGTGATTGTTACATTGGCCTAATAAGATTTCTTCAGCATCTGTGTGCTTGCAAAAAATGAAAAATGAAAAAAGTTTATCGGCATGAAATCCCACATGGCAAAATAGCTGATAACTAACTAACTAACTAACTAACTAACTAACTAACTAACTAACTAACTAACGTTCCCTCCTTGTCTATAATATAGGGTTGGCATCTCTAAGCACAGATGTCAATTGTTTGAAAGCTGACCAGGATTATATGCAACAGAAAAAAATTAAAACAAGCCCTTTCTGGCTGTGATTGTATTCACTTTCCAAGTTGTGGGTACTGTTTTCCATGCCGGTAATTACATCCTTCTAAACCCAGCATTTCCTTCCTGCTGCTCCACTAAAAGATTAAACAATAACTCTTTGAAAAATGGATTTACGTGAAAGACAGCTGGAGCCGGTTGCCAGGGGAGCTCAGAAGGTTCCAGACACATTCAACGTTCAGTGGATAAGGCTCAGGAAAGCTTGGGCTATTGAAGGCTCCTCTCTCCATGTGGAAGGTACCCCCACAAGCTGTAGAATGGATGCAGGAGATGAGACATAGTAAGATGGAAAGAGAGAAAACAACTCAAGTAGGACAAATATTGTGAGTCTGAGAAAAGCATGGGATTTCCCTTAGCAAAAGCAAATCTTGCTTGAACACTATGGCTCACGACAGAAAATCCTAGATATAGGAAAGACACGGCTCCCCTCCTCCAGTGTTAGAAGTAGTGGGGCTTCAGAGTATGTCCAGATAAGAGTTTTCTGTATTCCCAATTTAGTACCTTTGCATTAGAACAGAAGTGCAGTGCAGAATACCCGGAAGAGAAACCTGGAAATACCTGGAAACCAGAGAGCCAGTTTGGTCTAGTGGATAAAGCTCCAGGCTAGAAATAAGGAGACAGTGAATTCTAGTCCTGCCTTAGGAATGAAAGCCGGCTGGGTGACTTTGGCCCACTCACTCTCTCTCAGCCCAATTCACCTCACAGGGTTGTTGTGGGGAAGACAGGAGGAGGAAGGTATGTTCGCTGCCTTGAGTTATGTACAGGTGGGATAATATATAATACACACACACAGACACACACACACACAGTTATATTCAGAGAGCACCTGATTAAGTCACAACTATTTTTCAAGCAAAAAGGAATACATTCAGCATTCTAGTTAATTGCTCCCAGGAATGAAATGTGTAACCATTCTCAGTAGCTTCCTATTTATTTTTTCCTAAATGAATTTCTGCATAGGACCAAATCATGTGAGCTTTCGTCCCTTGGAGCCCTGTTTAGGCTTTAGCCTGGCATAGGTAGGGGCTAAACAGGTTACAAAAGAAGAGATATAAAAATATGGCCCACCTTAATGTCTTACCTTGCTGCATAACCAACCTTGTTTGATTAGTGTTCCCAATTAAAAACTGCCAGATGTCTGGCTTTCTAATTACTATTGGCTATACTGCCTTGGAGATTTGAGAATTATAGCCCAATTCATCTGTAATAAGATGTGCCAGGGTTGAACCAACCCTTTTCTGTGAAGGAACCCGCATCTAGTGATGAAAAGCAACTTGAAAAATAGGTCCTTCTGCTGCTGCCACCCCTTTGTTACCATCCAATTTCTCATTCCCCCACCAGCCTTTTGGGGAACCAGGAGAGAACTGAAGGGGAAACCTTCACCCCACTCCACCCCAGGTTTGGCTAAACTACAGGAAGGGAAACCAGCCAAAACGCTGGGAGTCAACAGCTCAGCCAAGCTGAGGTGGGTGCTAGAAGGCAAGAGGTCAACTGCAGGATTTAAAAAAAAAAAATCAATGTCATTGAAAGTGGCAAAGGTAGATGAGGTTCCATACGCTCAACCAACAAAAAAGAAGAGATAAGTACAAAAACCCTAACATGATTCTGTTGTTGTTGTTGTTGTTTAGTCGTTAAGTCGTGTCCGACTCTTCGTGACCCCATGAA